TACACACACACACACACACACACACACACACACACACACACACACACACACAAACATACGGAGATATATCTATCTCATAGAACTGGAAGGGACCCCGAAAGGTCATTGAGTCCAGCCCCCTGCCTTCACTAGCAGGACCGAGTACTGATTTTGCTCCAGATCCTTAAGTGACCTCCTCAAGGATTGAACTCACAACTCTGGGTTTAACAGGCCTGATTGCAAAATAGTGCTTTACATCATTATGGCCATGACTGTCCCGTGCTTTACACCACATCACTGGTGCAACTGACTTTAAAAAGCAACCTAAATGGCCCAGGGAGATCACACCCCAGGTATCCTCCAGTGGCACAGAAGTAAGATAGGGGCTTTTACACCAATCACCCTTTCTCTCCACTACCAGCAGAGCAGGGGCAGAGGTGTGGTTGAAGAGAAGCGCTTGTGGCTGGGATACTTGGTTGCATTTTGGCCCCATTGGGCCGTTGCAGCCAGGTAGGTCAGAGCTGCCCTCAGAGTAGTAACAGCATCAAGGAATTTAAACCATTTTGCACATTTGCCCTGATTTGCATTCTGCAATATAACTGCATCTCAGGACTTGGCCCAATATCTATGAATGACATTGTAGCCATGGATGTTTTTAGCAGGCTCAAGGTTGAATGGGATTAGAGTGTAGTCAGAACACCACCTTCCTGCCCTTTGGGCCTTTGAAAATCTTTAACTAAATGAGCTAAAAATGTTGGGTCACATTTTTTAGTTGGGGCTTAAATGAAAAGTAAGTCTTTTCCTATTGTATGGGGTAGTACTTGTCTTATACTTATGCACCCTGTTATATTAATCAAATCAAAATTGACTGAAAGGGGCAAATTTTCAGACACTGACCCCATTTTTTCAATTATGAATAGTGCTGGGTGCAATATTTGCACTTGAACTAAATTTGAAGTGCCAATAATTGCACTTTAATTTCTAGGCCCCTGATGAACTGGCAGGAACAAGAAGGATAGCTAAGCGAGCAAGTAAATTGGAGAGGTAATTGCATTCACTCTTTTGCACCCACAGAGTGGGTTAATGCTGGGCAGAAAATGTGGCTAATAAAATTGAGATCCAGTGTATAAGTAGGTGTCTTATGCAAGATCAACCTGGCAATGAATGGTGTGGCTTTTAAATACAAAATTGATAGATAAATCTAATACGCTTACACTGAAGAACTAACTTTAGAATTAGTAAAAATATGCCACCTACTGGTTAGTACTCTGGACTGGAAAAAGTTGTGTCTTACAACAGAAAACAGTAAATAGAACAAACGAGCCCCTAAAAGTGGTGAAATGAAAAAAAAATCAAGCCCCATCTTTGTTTCTTTTAGTGCAAGCAGGTTTACAGAAGAACTAAGCAGCAAGGCCCACCGGAAATACAGTCCTGTTAATGCTCTGAAGGGCAGATGGCAAGAATGGGCAGACCAGCATGTGATAACGCAGAAGCTGAATCCTTTCAGTGAGGAATTTGACTACCAACTGGCCCAGTCGACACGCCTGCACAAAGGAGATAAGGGCTATGGTCGTCCTAAAGAGGGAACGAAAACTGCTGAAAGGGCCAAGAGAGCGGAGACTCACATTCACCGGGAGATAAGAGATATGTGCTTTATCATTGCAACAATGGCTCGGCTGAGGCGCGATGGCAAGATCCAAGTCACCTTTGGGGAACTCTTTGACAGATATGTCCGTATTTCAGACAAGGTTGTTGGGATTCTCATGAGAGCTAGGAAACATGGGCTGGTGGACTTTGAGGGAGAAATGCTATGGCAAGGCAGGGATGATCATGTCATAATCACTTTATTGAAATAAATGTACAACAACCCATTATGGTAAACTTAAAATACACCAAATTTTTCCATTGCTGCCAGTGACCGCACCATTAAATAGTAAATATAGGAATTTACCACGCAGTTGGAAAGATACTTAACATTAGTTCTAGGGAGTCAGATGTTTTATAATTACTCCTGTGATACCAAGCATCCTTTTGCTATTCCCTTTGTATTGTGCCCTCTACCAACTGAGTTTGCAGCATTATAAAGTTATTTACCACTCAGATAAGGATGGATGTGGAAGAACTGAAGTGAATATATGTATTGCATGCACCAAAATAAATGTAAAAGCATAATGGCAGCAGAGACAGCTCCACCTCAATCCTAACCCTGAGTTGCTTTCACATACAAAACTTTCCCCACCCTAAATTAACTTAGATGTGATTTTTGGAGTTATAAAGTGGGTTGGATCAGGAACCAACTGAGAATATGAACTTGAATGCGCAATCTATTAAATTGACCCTTCAGTCCTGTCCTACATTTCATAATTAAGTCACTAAAAATCTATTTAAGGGCATACAAATAGAATTTGAATGTACAGTCATCTGCATTTACAACTAAGGTATAGGATATACCAGTTATTTCCTATTTTAAGTATAGCAAAATACTACTGCAGACACCATGCTGTAGTAACTAATTGACAAATGTTGATGTTTTAATGGTGAGCACTGTATCTGTGATGTTTTCCCTTACATTTCATACACAAAGTAAGATAAAACTTGTACAAAGAGGGCTTTATATTTAAGACTGAGAAATGGATGGAATGGTGGCATACATCCCCTACAGAAAAATACTGAACACAAGGCAAGACTTGAATGCATAGAGGATATGGAAATTCATGAAAATTACTGCATATCAGTATATAGAAATGATTTCCTATTCAATACATCTATAGCAATAAAGGTAAATTAACATACAGCACATATTCTCTACTTGTTCCTGGAATTAAGTGTATGGTGCTAGACACTTATAAACAGCTGCATTACAGAAAATGTACAAGATCAAGATGCAGGAGTAGCAATGGTAGGGACATTTTCCAGTAGACAGAGCCTACTTCTGTGAGTGAGGAATACATGAGAAATATTTTTCCTAAATAAACAAAGAGAATACATCCTCTGTGTATTCAGAAAGCCGGTGTTTCATAAGATGTTCTACAGAATATGGGCCTAATTCTACAACCTTATTCATGTTAGGTTGTTCCAATGAAGTCAATGGCACTATTTCAGCCCAAGCAATGTTCAATGAGGGTAAAGGTGGCAGAATTCAGCAATGTATGTTTTAAAGAAAAGTTTAAAGTGGTGTTTCTATACTTTGTACCTCACTTCTATGCTGTACTATAGTATAGATTTCTATATTGCGTATAATGCTTACTGGATTATATAGACAACAGCGTCTCAAGACTATTACTATGTAAATTTCACACAGTATATACTATTGACAGAATAAAATGTTCATTTAGGAGGAAAAAAGGTTGGGCAAACTATTTACATACAGTTAAAAATGAGAACCCAAATGATTTCCTTTGATAAGTTTCTTTCAAACTGAAAGATCAAACATCTTCTTGCAGAAGAAAAGGGTATCCGTACATTTTGCCTCAATTTGGTAAACCAAGAACTGTTAATTTAGCATTAAAACACAAATACTCCAGTTTGAACTTCCTGGTAGGCATATTTTTTGTAAGCAAATAAAACAGACCTCAAAATTTTACAGGCAAATAATTCAAGAACCAAATAATATGCTCCTACAGTATGTCTTGTTCTAAAACAATATTAACATTGTAAGCAAGGTAACTGATTGTGAAGTTAGCCAAGATAAAAACATATTACATTGCAGGTCTGATCCAATAGCCTTTTTGGTGACAATGCGGCTACTCATGCAAATAAGAGCTGCAGGACCGGGCTCTAATTTGCAGATAAATATTGTGATATGAAATGCTGTATGTATAGGTTCTTGCATTACCCTCCGTGGTTCTTCATATGAATACCACTATACCTATTTAATTATTAAGTCATTTGCCTGTTGTCCTTTAAAAGGCTGTCAAAGTACAATACCTGAATGACAAATAAAATACTAATTTGAGTACCAGTGCTTGCTTATTTTTTCCACCCCTACTTAGAAGAGAAACATGTTCATTCACATATTGTCTGATATATTAACAGACCATTTTAAAATGTGAACTTCTCCTGCTCCAAGCCACTACCCTGTTAGATACTCATCCTTGCGCTAAGGTCCATAGATCTGTTATAATGGGATTTTCATAGCCTACATCCAAGCTGGGAAGCAGGATCATCCTTTAAATAGGACACCCAAAACAAGATAGGTTATATTTACATATCTTGTACACCTTCCTCTGGACACTATGGCATGGAGAAAGCTTCTGCCAAAAGAAATGAATTACATTGGCTAGGATTGGATGACTAATATGCAGTTAGGTGCAGTTATGAATTGATGGGAGACATGACTACCCTGCTCTGAGACTGAGGGCTTATCTTCACTGTGGGGGTAAATCGACCTAAATTATGCTACTCCAGCTACGTATATAACGTAGCTGGAGACAATGTAGCTTAGGTCAACTTACCCCAGTGTCTTCATGGTGTTGAGTCGACAGGAGATGCTCTCCGGTCAATTTCCCTTACTCTTCTCAGAAAGCCGGAGTACTGGCGTCAACTGGAGAGTGCTCTGCCATCGATTTAGCAGGGCTTCACTAGACCCGCTAAACCGATCCCTACTGCATTGATTGCAGCAGCACCGATCTCCCTGGTAGTGGAGACCAGCCCTTAGAGTGCTCCTAAGGACCAGGGACTGAGAGCCATTGAACCAAACTGTATATAAGGGAAACCACTTCAAGCCAGGGGTGTGGCAGCACTCCCAGTTCCAGCACCTATGCTAAGGACTGGACTTTGCTGTTTAACAAAGGTGAAATATTTCTTGAATGTTGTGACGCATGGCCAGAAAGGGTTAAACATCCTGCAAAATAAATAAGCTTCAAAAGACATGTGGGAAGATAACGTTTGTGTTTTTGTGTATTTACATATATATGAGTAAGGTCAACAATGTAATCAACAGTCACTGTCTATGTTGTATTCTGTTAATTCAGAGATCAAAAGAACATCCTGGCATAGGATATCTCTATTAATTTATCTTTGAAATTAAGTCATCTGTGAATGGTGGCGAAACAAGCAAATTGCCTTATGTTAATCCATATAGCTAAGTACTGATGATGGACCTCCTTCAAAGTCATCCTAATTATTTTTTATTCCCAGAGGAACTCCCAACTTGTCAAAGAGGACATGAAATTGTATAAAAGATCCTTGGGTCTTGATTCAGTCATCTCATATCTGCTTAAGCTTCATCGGGGGAAGTTTGAGTTGCAAGACTGAGGTCCCGGTTATGCTGGTACACCCTGAATATATTTGAACATTGGACTATAACCTATGAACTACTTCTGAAAGAACTCTTTGCAACGACAAAGCTCACCATCTCTGCTGTGAATCTGAACCTCAGTGAATTGAACTCATATCTGTATGTGTATTAATCTTTTAACTATACTCTTATTTTTTAATAAATTTTAGTTTAGTTAATAAGAATTGGCTGTAGCATGTATTTGGGTAAGATTTGAAACATTCATTAACCTGGGAGGTAATGTGTCTGATCCTTTGGGATTGGTAGAACCTTTTCTTTTATATGATTAGATAAGATGTTCAGAAATCATATTTGGCTTAGGTACCTGGATGGAGGCCTGAGGCTGGATCACTTTACGGGAACTGTGTTGTCTGGACTTCTGAGTAATGAGTAAGGTAATAAAGAAACTTTTGTGCTGGCTTGGTAAATCTAAGTATTGAAAATATGCACCAGCTTTTTGGGGAGTGTCTGCCCCATTTTTTGCAGTTCACCCTAATTGAGTGACCACACCTGGCCCCCACTGGAATCCCCGTCACAAATGTACTTGGGGAATAAATGCTATTACAGTAGTAAGGACTACCTGTCCGAATGATAATTACAATACTGATTATTGTTAGTGAAAGCTACCAACTTAAAAAAAACCCACTTCATTTGACTGGCGAGAATAGCCATCGGGAGGCCTACTCTAATGGACAAGAAGTATAATAATATCTCCAGTACAGGTTCAGTGGTTGTGCTCTATGACTTTGCAAGGTTGGGACAGGATTGATGTTCTAAAAAAAGCATTTAATGTTGGGATTTATACAAAGCATCTTTTCTTTAACCTGCAGAACACATTATACTACAGAGACTTGACCCTTTTTTTACTTGGACACTCATACATCTAAAATAAACCCCTCCCAGGGGAAACACAAGGCTATGTTCCACTGGTTTAATAAGGTAGTTAAACTATGGACTTTGCACCAGTCAGCAAAATAAGTTCTCTTCTGGGGTCCATGGGAACACTGATCACTTCGTCCAAGTATTCATTTTAAATGTGCCCGGTCTCAGATAGAGGGTTGATCTCGCAATAGCAGACCTCCTCGGTGAGATAGAGACATCCAAAATACTGTTCTGAGAAGCAGTTGAAGAAAGTGGGAAGACTTATATAGCAGAGTCTTCATCCAGCTTTGCCAGGTGGATAGCTAAGAACTGATTTGTCTGAGCATCTCATCTAAAGAGCCAAAGCTTCCTATGCCTACAGGAAACAGATCTGAGACCCACATCCCCTTCCCTCCTTTTCTAGGGAGAAGTTCTTAGCCCAAGGAATTTTTTAGATTGACAGGAAGCATACTTGCAATCCTGCCTACCCACGTTAGCAGTGCTTATAAAAGCATACGGGGGTATTTAGCATGTCAGATGTTTCATATACTTCTTTATTTCTGTTGCCTTCACTTTTCATGCTGAAAATAGGCTGAGACAATGCCTGCCTGAACTTGGCTGTCTGTGAAGGACCTGTATAGTCAGCAGGCTGCTTTTTCAGGTAAAAATCTTCTACAGGTAGAAGAGAAAGTTACTCACTTTGTGCAGTAACTGAGGTTCTTTGAGATGGTTGTCCCTGTGGATGCTCCACTTTAGGTGTCTTGGTGCCCTGCGCTTATATCGGAGATTTGTAGTAGCCATGCCCTGGTTGGCTGCACGTGCGCAGTAGCCATTTGCGCCACTCCGAGCGGTTACCCAGATGCACAGCCAACCGTTCCCCAGTTCCTTCTCTACCCCAGAGGATCGACGTGAAACTCTGAAGTAGAGGGCAGGGCGAGTAGTGGAGCACCCACAGGTACAACCATCTCGAAGAACCTCTGTTACGGCACAAGGTGAGTCGTCGTTGCCGTCACCTCGTCCTCTGAGTGTCCCTGTGGGTGCTCCACTTTAGGTGACTGTAGAGCAGTGCCCCTCAGTGGAAGGGAGGGGCTTCAGAGTTGATTTATGTACACAGGAAAGCACTGAGAGTCCAAATTGAGCATCTGCAGCTGATTGCTGTTCTAATGCATAGTGTTTGGTAAAGGTATGGGCTGATGCCCACGTAGCTGCTTTAGAAATGTCCATGATGGGTACATTATTGCGAAAGGCGACAGATGTAGATAGTGCTCTAGTGGAGTGGGTCCAAAGTCCAGATGGAGCTTGCAGATTATAGGTTTGGTAACATAATTGGATACATGTAGATATCCATTTAGATAATCTCTGCTTGGAGATGGTTTGACCACGGGAACATTCTACTGTGGATACAAACAGTCTGGATGATTTTCTAAATGTTTTTGTTCTTTCTATATAAACCACTAGCGCTCTGAGGACATCCAGCCTGTGAAGGGAGGCCTCCCTGTTGTCAGCATGTGGTTTAGGGAAAAATACAGGTAAGTAAATTGGCTGGTTGAGATGGAAGGGGGAGGCGACATTGGGTATGAATTTAGGATGTGGTCATAGGATTACTTTGTCTTTGAAGAATGTGGTATAAGATGGGTGTGCCATTAGGGCACCCTGCTCTCCCACTCTTCTTGCTGCCGTGATAGCTACTAGGAAGGTGACCTTCATGGATAGGTGCAACAACGAGCAAGTCACTAGTGGTTCAAAGGGTTTGCCCATGAGGGCACAGAGAAAGAGATTGGGATCCCACATGGGGGTTGTGCCCCGTAGTGTGTACTAAGTGTTCTCTATGCCCTTTGGAAGTGTTTAATCCGTGCATGAGCGAAGATGGTGACGCCATCAGATTGTAAGGAGGTGATGGCTGCTAGATGCACTCTGAGTGAGCTAGTAGATAGGCCTGATTTTTTGAATGTCAATATGTAGTCTAGGATTATGGGTAGTGGGGTCGATTGTGGAATAATCTGCTTGTCCTGACACCAAGTACAGAATCGTTTCCACTTGTGCATGTGTTTTTCATGTGGTCAGCCGCTGACTGTTCAGTAGCATACTTTCTTAGAACAGTCTGTCTCAAGTCCTGTCATCCATAGATTAGTCAGACCTTGAGATGGGGTACTGAAGTGTTGGGGTGATGGAGGCATACTGCATCAGCAGATGAGGCACAAGGGAAGGGTTTGTGGTGGTCTCACAGCCATCTGTTTCAGGTATGAAATCATGTTTGTCTGGGCCACGTTGGTGCAATGGAGGATGACTCTGGATTTGTCTTGCTTGATCTTGTGAAGGACATGGCTCAATAGAGGGATTCGGGGGGAAGGCATACAGCAGTGGGGCCTCCCATTTCACAAGGAAGCAGTCTCCTAGAGAGGTGTGGCCCGGTCCAGCCCTGGAGCAGCATTGTGGGCACATGACATTGTGGGCCACTGCGAAGAGATCTATTGAGAGGAATCCCCATTGTTTGAATACAGTTTTTAGTATTCCGGAATCCATCTCTCACTTGTGGGTTTGTGAAAAGTTCCTGCTTAGTTGGTCTGCAGGAACCAGTTCCTTCTCTGGTTCCTGCAGACCAATTCTGGCGTCCGGGCAGGTAGGATGCTATGATGTCTATGTTGTTGAAGATGCACCACTGACAGAGGGGATAAGATAGGGCCCCTCCTTGGCAATTTACATAAAACATAGTCGCCAAGATGTCCGTATGAATCTGGACAGTTTTTTGCGGATTAGAGGGAAAAAATGCTGGCAGGCCTTTTGGGCTGCCCTTAGCTCCAGTTGATTTATGTGGAGAT